TCCTGCTGGGTGACACCAGGCTCTGCCACTTCTCTGTCACAGGACGCTTTGTCCATGGCCGAGCTGGCAGAAGCAAACCTGTGTTGGCTCTTTAGCTGTTCTGGTTTGCAGCCAGGAAATGGTACTGAAATGGTGGTGATTTAAGCTTAAGTAAATGTGCCAGGAGACGAGCACAGCAGCAGCTGAAAACCCAGCCCCGTGTTTGTTTCTGTTGGTTCTGCTGTGGGATTGGCTCTGGCAGGAGAGCAGGAAAGTTGGAAACAGCCAGAGCTTGTCTGAAGGCCTGATGCTGATGAAGGCATGTGTTATAAATGGTGTGTTGGGAAGTAGGATCTGGCTGCTCTTTAGAACCCCAGGCCCCTCTTCTGCTTGCAGGGAGATAAGAAACCAGTTGCTGCTAACAAATACTAGAGCTGTTAAATAATGATATAGTAAGTGCCACCCTGTTGAGTTTGTTTTCATCTGGATACAGAAATCATTTAACTATTGTGTAAATGAACTAGTAATGCATAATTAGCATGCTTATCATGTTTTTCATGTTGCCTTTCCCCCCACACAGCTGCTTGCAGGACAGAAGAAAAGTGCCCCTTTCTGGACATTTGATTACTACCAGACGTTCTTCGACGTGGACACGTACCAGGTTAATACTCCACTCCAGAGGAGAACTATTGTCTGACCTATGCTTTATCCAGATACTGAGGGTGGTTTTTTTCCTTTTTGCATCTTCAGTCAGACAAATCTCTTATGTTTTCATAGGTCCTGGACAGAATCAAAGGTTCAGTTTTCCCAGTACCAGGGAAGAACTTTGTAAGGCTGTATATCCGCAGCAATCCTGACCTTTATGGTAGGTCCAAGTTGTGAGAAGGGCTTTTCTGTGCTAAATGTTTTGAGTTTGAACTCCTTTTTACTAGCTAAAAAAAACAGTAACAAGAGGGCAGAGGAATTGTTATTGAACTTGTTTGTGTCCTTCTAAGGTCCCTTTTGGATATGTGCCACACTCGTCTTCACCATTGCTGTCAGTGGCAATCTCTCCAATTTCTTCATCCATCTGGGCAAGCCAACGTACCACTATGTGCCCCAGTTCAGAAAAGGTTTGTAAGTCATTGAAACAGTCCTGAGTTTGGTGGGTTTTGGTTTTGGGGAGGCGGTTTGGAGTTTGTTTTTTTTTAATGAAGCAGTGTAAAAATAGGTCACAGCTTCAATTTAGCAGAGTCTTTTGATTTATTTTATTTTTTTAGAAATGTGAAACAAGTGCTTAAAGTGGCCTGTAAATGGCAGAACCCTCTACTCTTCCTGAGCAGAAAATAGTTACAGGTGTTCAGTAGTGCAGGCAGGAGTAATTAGAGCAGGTATTTTTCTAGCTTTAGTGAATGCCCCTTTGTGCAGAGAGGGAAAGCCACTGTGGTGCTTCTGTAGGTGCCTTTCTGGGCTCATGGCCTCGGAGGAGCCTGCAGGCCTCAGATGGAAAATTATTGAATTAGGATTTTACTCATGTACTAGACCTACTGAGGGCTGGGACTTGTTATCTTCTGGCAAACTTAAAAATAAGCAAAAGATGCTAAGCTGATAGAGAACTCAGAATGAGGAAGCAATTGTCAGTACCTGTTCTTGTAGTCTGAAGGAGGCTGCTGTCCCTGCAGAGGAACGTGACTTTTGATTGTTCCTAAAATCCACAGTGCACTTGGAAAAACACTGTGGGAATCCAGTCACACGAATAATTTCAGATTTGGCACTCATGTTTGTGTTCTCTTCAATTTTTTTAGCATGTCTGCATTCTATGCTAATTTTTTAGTAACTGTTAGTAGCTGAATTTCTATTTTTAACTTCAGTTTTTCTTTCCTCCGTGATTCTTCCTTTCACATGGAAACCAGTAGCATTTTGTACACAGGTGTAACGAAGAAACTGAAAATTGATTATCAAGAGAATACTTTCTGGAGTTTTTACTTTTAAACTGACTTGAAATGCTGGCAAAGCAGCGAGTGTAAACTGGATATAAATGCAAAGTTATCAGCTTTTAGTAACTCATAATTTATATTTTGATGTTCACTTCTAAGGTAGCTTTCTAGTTTTTGGACTAATGCTTCTACTCATTTGCTTCTGGCTGGTATTTGAAGTAAAATCTTTTGGTTTATTTCCAGTGTCCATAGCAGCAACAACGATTTATGCCTATGCTTGGCTTGTTCCCCTTGCTCTCTGGGGATTCCTGATGTGGAGGAACAGTAAAGTCATGAACATCGTCTCCTACTCGTTCTTGGAGATAGTGTGTGTCTATGGCTACTCCCTCTTCATTTACATCCCCACTGCGGTACGTGTGGCCTGAGGAGTCCACTTCTGTTACACGCCCTGCAAAAAGGTCCTGGTTTAGAAGATTTGCTATTTCTTAGCATATTCATAGAATCACTTAGGTTGGAAAAGGCCTTTAAAGTCATCAAGTCCAACCATTAACCCTACTCTGCCAAGTCCAGCACTGAGCCATGTCCCCAAGCACCACATCTAGACTTCTAAACACATCTAGGGATGGTGACTCAACCACCTCCCTGGGCAGCAGGTTCCAGTGTCTGACAACCCTTTCAGTGAAAAAGTTCTTCCTAATGTCTAGTCTGAAAGTCCCCTGGTGCAGCTTGAGGCCATTTCCTCTTGTTCTGTCACCAGTTACTTGTGACCAGTGCCTGCCTCTTTACAACGTCCTTTCAGGTGGTTATAGAGGGCAATGAGGTCTCCCCTCAGACTCCTTTTCTCCAAACTAAATAGCCCCAATAGTGTTCATATTACTCAAAGTCTGGGGGACTGGGCAAATAATTTGTTCCTTTTGCTTGGCTAGAATAAAGGTTTTTGTTTAAGCTTGTAGAATTTAAAGACAGATTGTGTGTCCTGAAAAAACTCGGGTCATTTCCCCAGAGGCAGCAAATCCAAGTAAGGCTGATGAGCTTGGCAGGCAAATCCAGGAATTGGGATGTTTGTTTCCTTAGGGTACAGACATCAGTGTTTGGGGTGGCAATGCTGATGGCTCTGAGGAAAAGTCCCCTTGGCAGAGACCATCCTGGGCTGCTTGGGCAAGGGGGGGGCCTTGGAGGGAGTCCCATAACTCAGGGGACATACTCTTGTTGTGTCCTGGAGGAAAGCTCCTCACTGCTCTTCCTGTTCCTCAAATAGCAGACTCATCAGATAAGGTGTGAGTTAATTTAAGCACAAATTGGCTGGAAGTGCTGAAATGTCACAGCACAACGCGTTCAATGAATGAACCCCTTTTCCACACAGTCTCTTTAAACAGTCATCTCCCTCCCTTTTACAGATTTTATGGATCATACCAGAAAAAGTGGTGCGCTGGGTCCTGATGATCTTCTCCCTGGGCCTCTCGGGGTCTGTTCTGGTGATGACCTTTTGGCCTGCTGTCCGCGACGACAACCGGAGGATCGCGCTGGCCACCGTGGGGACCATTGTTCTGCTTCATGCTCTGCTGGCTGTCGGCTGTTTGGTAGGACACTGCCTTCCCTGTTCTCTAATCTCTTACTTCCTGGGGCTGGTGACACATTGCAGTGCAGGGAAGGAGGAGCTGGCTGGTTGCTTTAAAGTAGTTTTTATTAAAGCGATATAACTTCCAAAAGAACTCGAAAGTAAACATGTCAAGAGAGACGGGGATCTACTGGAGAGCTACAAGGATGATTAAGGGACTTGAACATCTCTCCTATGAAGAAAGGATGGGAGACCTGGGCTGTTTAGTCTTCAGGAGAGAAGGCTGAGAGGGGATGTTATTAATGTCTATAAATATCTGAGGGGTGGGTGTCAAGAGGAAGGGGCCGGTCTCTTTTCGGTGGTGTCCAGTAATAGCAAAGGAGCAATGAGTATAAGCTAGAACACAGGAAATTCCACCTCAACATGAGGAGAAACTTCTTTACTGTAAGGCTGACAGAGCTCTGGGACAGGCTGCCCAGACAGGTTGTGGAGTCTCCTTCTCTGGAGACTTTCAAAACCCAGCTGGATGTGTTCCTGTGTGACCTGCCCTGGGTGCTCCTGCTTTGGCAGGGGTATTAGACTAGATCATCTCTAGAGGTCCCTTCCAACTTCTAACATTCTATGATTCAAACATAGAAAAAATGCCAATCTGACTTAAACAGTGCCTGTAATAAAGTCAATAATTAATATGTCCTTAGGACAAAAACACTTACAGAATAGTCTTAAATTTATCTGGAATTATCATAGTTTCAGCAAAGTGTTAATTTTGACTGTATCCAGTGACACTGTGCTTAGTTAGTCATTTAAGATGATTAAATGATAAACATGTAGTTTGTACTTAAGAGTTTTGTGTCTGAAAGTAAACCTGCTAAACTGTGTCAGCATTGTGGAAAGACCCTAATGCTACAGAAATACTTCAAGATGAGACATTTTCTTTTGTCCCTTTGTTGCAGTAGGTAGGATGATACCATCCAGGCTTCAGTTCTGTTCCCCCATCCCAGCTTCCAGAGATTTAGTTCCCCACAGCTCAGTCTGCAGGGGGATGAAGGCAAACACAGGTCCTGTGTTGGCAGGAGACTTGCAGCTGACTTCAGTGGTGCTCCTGCCACCAGAGACTGCTTGGAGCTTCATCAGTTAAATCAGAAAACAGTGAAATAAACACCAGTGCAGGTCTTTTCCAAGGCCTTAGCTGCTAAACTGTTACATTTAAAAGTACATTTTAGAGCACCATTTTAGTTGGCTGTCTGTGATAAAACCAGAGAAGATCCACACTTGCCATTTCAGTGCTGTGTCTGTATCTTGTGAGCTGTGGGTGTGGAAGGTGGGTGCTGGGATGAGGCAGAACTGTTGGTTTCTCTCTAAACATTTTTTCTCCTCTGTAAAAAATGCAGGCATACTTTTTTGATGCTCCTGAACTGGATTTTCCTGCACCTATTATCCCTGCTCACAATAAAACAACAGTAACAACAAGGAGTCACTAAATAAGGTGAGGATCCAATCTAAAGTTTCTTCTGTAACCATCACAGGCATCTTGGAACCTTTTCCCCATTACTGTGGTTGAGTGGAACAGTTTTGTCAGATGTTGCCTACATCTAAATACCATTTATTAACTTTTATTCCAGTTTTAAATATAGCCATAAAAATGTAAAGACTCTGAGGAACAAAAACATGTTATCTTTATTTTCTTTGAGGTTTTCTCTTGACAAAGAAACTCATCTACTCAGTCCCATAGGTCATTTCAAAGATGTTTTTTCCCCTCAATCCTTTACAAAAGTAGAACTTAAGCAACAAACTATTATACTCCTGTTTTCCTTTCCATTAAGTGTTAGAAGTAAATTGGTGTTCATCCTCCTAGCTGCTTGTGTCAGTGTTTTCAGAGCAGGAGCTCTGGGTATGAGGACATCCTGTGCTCCCTGAGCAAGGCTAACTCAGAGCCTAAGCCATCCCTCCAGACTGCATTCCTTGTGTGGGATGGTTTGAGGTTTTGTTTCCTGGTAGCTGGGAATGCTGCCAGCAGCAGATGACATTCAAATTCTGCTGGAGAGATGAGATGTGGAGCAGGTCCAGAAAAAGGCTGATAGACATGCAGAGACCAGGCCCCTACAAGTACAACCAGCCACAAGTCTGTATGTGAAGGTTGGAGTATTTACTGACTAGAAGTGATATTAGATGAAAAAAACATGAATGAAACCTAGCCAAGCATGCCTAGCAAAAATGATCATTAATTACCAGCTGTGACAGCCTAATCATGTGGATCAATTTTAGAAGCTTTCCTCCTGCAAAATCAGTTTCTCATCCCAGGTGCCTATTAAGATTCAGGATGATTGTAATGAACTTTAGTATTTAGATATAAACGTGCCTTATTGTGTCCTCTGGTGCCCGTGAGGAGCTGTAACATTATTTGTCTGTTTCAGGTTACACTGCCCATTTCTCCATCTGTACAGTCATTTCATTTTACATTATTTTTTCACTGAAGACCATGGGAAATGCAAGAACAGGGAATGCTTTTTTGGGGAAAAAACCCAGGCAGTGATGTCCCATGGATTTACAGACATCTTACCAGAGACTGACTGGTTGCTTCCATAAGGAGAGTGAACTGATCTTAGTTCTGTACTGTTTTTGGTTTCTTTGTTGTTTTTTTTTTTTTTTTAAATCCTCACTCCCCCTGCTCTTTTTTCCTCTGAATAAAGTTTCCTGAAGGAGCTTTCTTATTTTGTGAAGGATGTAACCCTCCTGAGCAGAGGTGTGAAGGCGGAGGCGAGGCAGGGTTGCCCCTGTGACCTGAGGGACGGGCCGTGCAGCCGCGGGCACTCCCAGCACCAGCTGCCACCACCGGGGCAGGTCCCCCCTCCTCTTACCCGGGCCCGCTTGGCTTCGTTCTCCTCAGCCACGTGGGGACGTGTAACGCTGCCCTTTGGCCTGAGGGGCCCTGCGGCACGTCCGCCGAGGGCCCGCGGGAGCCGCGTTGTCC